AACTTTATATTTAAAAAAACAGTGTGAAAAACGATCAAAGTTCCAATCATGCAACACAAACGGAACTTTACCCAAAAAAATATAAGGGGGAAAAAAAAATTGAGAAAAAAAAAAAAAGGTTCTGTGATTGCCTAGTTTGCTGCCTGAGTAATATTTATCAGCCAAACTTTGAATTCTGCAGTTGTTTCTACAATTCCATTTTGTATGAAGCAAAGTCCTTGAATTAAAATAAAAACTTAGCAAAAAAACCAAAACCAACCAACCTGAGCAATTCCCAGACGCTGTGTGCGGTGTGCCTGCTGACTGGGAGACGCCGGAGGGCCGGCTCCGAGGGCCTGCCCACCTCCAGGAGTGACTGCATCCCAAACCGGGATTTTGCAAGGAATTGGCTGCATCTGTTGGGGTTTTTTTTGCCCATAGAGGCTTCACTGATGCTTGGGTTGAGCAGGGAGCTGTTTGGAAATTTGTGGTGTGGATTCAGCGTGGAGATGGCAGTTCCTGGAGTCCAACAGGCGGCAGAACTGTAAAGTTGAGGGTTAAAAACCCACCCCAACAGCGATTGATTCTTGCCAGGTTTTTAACAGAGGGATGTTTCTCCAAAACATCCTAAAAGCATCTCCTAAAATGCTGGCAGGGGTTGCCCAGAGAAGCTGTGGGTGCCCCATCCCTGCAAACATTCAAGGTCAGGTTGGATGTGAAGCTGATCAAGCTCACGCTGCCCCTGCTCATCCCACAAGGGTTGGACTCGAGGACCTTTAAAGGGTCTGCACCGAGCAGAAAAACCCAAGGGCTGTTGGGACAGAAGGAAATAACTTCTCATTTCTCTGGATAACTGGAAAATCCACCTCATTCCTTTCCAGGGACAGAAATCCACTTCATCGAGGTCTTCTGGTGTCACACAACACCAAGGACTCTCCAAAATTTCTTGGATGCTGTAGAGCACTATTTAGGGCTTGACAACTCTTCTCTCTTGTTGCATCTTCTCTGTGATGAGACCACCCAAGGTCCCAGCTGAGATTTGGTGTGGAACTGAAAGGAAAAGGTCCTCAGGTCTCTGATCTCCAGGTCAGGCTGGAGCTTGGGAAGATGTTTTGCTTGAGGTCACAAAGTTCATGGTTAGCGAGGTTTGGGGCAGGAGAACTTTCCTTGGCTTGAAGTGTGGTCTCTATGGGGTTTGGGGTTCTTGGCTGGACAACACTGAAGATTTTTATTAAGTTTCTTTAAATATCCCAAATAAACCTAAAATGGAGATTGCTCAGCAAGGTACAGGGGAAGGTTTGAAGTGGAGGATTTGGGAACCGGTGTGGATCAGCATCCACCCCGACTGCCAAGGGGACCCTGCAGGATTCACTTCACCACAGCCCCCTGGGGAGCTGGAATCTGCCTGGGGCACCAGCTGGGCAACCTCTCCCCTTCTCACCTGGATCACAGAGACCTCCAAACCCACTTCACAGCCCCCTATGAGTTTCAAAATCCTAAAAGCATTTTGGTAACTCTCTGCCCTTTTAAAGTATTTTTTCCCCCTTTTTTTTTCTCCTTATTCCAGCTGTGATTTTTGGGTCCAAGACAGCAATGAACCCATCAGCTTCTCCAGGGCCTGCCTGAGCCCTGGGCTGAGGGAGCTGCAACAGGCAGGATCCCTGATCCCACTCTCAAAACATCTCCCACATCCAAAACGCTGGAGCTGGAACCTCTGGGTTTGAGTTCAGCTGAATGCCAAAAATGGGATTTATTTTTGTTCCTCATCCCCTTCCTGGAGGAACATTTTGCTGTCAGGGTGTTTGCACGAGGTCTCCTCCCTGCAGGGACACATCTTTCTAGCAGAGACCACACAATTTCCATCCCTCTTATTCCCTGTGGATAAAACCTGGATCAGCTTTTCCCAGGCCAGCACCCCACACCCGGCTGTGCCGTTAGGGGGAAGCATTTTCAGGCTTTCTCTACTTTCTAGGGAAACAGAAAAGAAACAAACCACTGATTCAAAAGGCTTGAGAGTCATTCCCTGGAATATTTCTTTTAGGATGCAGAAAACTCAGGGTGAGAGGCTGAGCACACCTGAGTTCAAGGTGCTCAGGTAATTTGGCTTTTTTTTATTCCCTGAAGCATGAAAAGCTGGGATCATCCATTGATTCCTCATTCCAGCCACATTTCAGACAGCACCCACAGACTCCTACATCTCCTCCAAGGTGACAGATTACTCATCCCAGTGTATTCATCCCTCTTTATCAAGCCTAAGCAGATCTCCTGATATTTTCCAGGCTATGAAAACACCGTTTTCAGAAAGTGCCTGATCGTGATAATAAACCTCAACTCAATTCTGTCACTCAGCACATTCCAAAATATTTTGCAGAAGAGGCAAAATTTGCATTTTTATGTGATTTTAAAAATAAAGTCACTTGAGACCCTTGAAAAGGACTAAATTGCCCAGGGTCACCCAGCAAGTGAAGACAAGGCTGCTCTGCTTCTTCCTTCGTGTTTGAAGTGTGCAGGATTATTTTTATATCCAAAAATAATTTGGTTTTTGGTAGGATCCCAGTGAGGAGGGGTCACTGGGAATTCAGCATCTCCCTGAGAGGGAATTCACTCGGGGAGAATTTAAAGGGAAGAGCAGTGAGAGAAATGCAGGAAGGGATGGCAGCGACTGGGGGCTCTGATAAGGGTGGGCAGACATTTGGGGGTGAAGCCTTGGGGTGGGTGAGCCAGCAGGAGAGCAGAGATCTGAGCAAACCATCCCTGAGAGAAGGGATGGAAATCCAGAATGGAGCCCCTCCACTCAAGGCAGGAGCAGGCTGGTGGAGCAGAGCTGTTCATTCAAAGCAAACTATCAATAACTGGAGTTTATTCATTTTAGCCTCAGCTCCACTTTCTGTCATTGCTCTGAAACAGAATATCCCAGCCCTGGCTTTGTCTGTGTCTGGTTTTATTATTTCTCTGGCTCTGGCAGCCTTTTCTTTCTGCCCAGCACGGCACAGAGGAGGAGGAGAAGGAGGAGGAGGAGGAGAGGTGTGGTCCTTGTCCAGCTACTCCTGCACAAAAGGCTGGCACACCTGTAGGGGTGAAAACCCAAATTTTCTCAGTGGGGGCTGGGGAGGGTCATGGATGTGGTTGTGTCACTGGGTACAGCAAATGAGAGGGTGGTTAAAAAGAGGATGCTGAGCTGAGAGACAGGATTGTGGCACAGTAATCCTGGGAATGTGACAAGTGGGTTTTCCTCCTCGTGGATTGGAGAGTGTTTGAAAGACCCGGTTCTGCAGGTGATCAAGCTAAAAAAGACCTGGTTCTGCAGGAGATCCACCTAAAAAAAGACCTGGTTCTGCAGGAGATCCACCTAAAAAAGACCGGGTTCTGCAGGAGATCCACCTAAAAAAGACCTGGTTCTGCAGGAGATCCACCTAAAAAAAAGACCTGGTTCTGCAGGTGATCCACCTAAACCAGACCTGATGGGATGTGCAAGGAGCAGAGGGCAGAGTCCCACGGGTCCCCCAGCAGGGATGGGCTGCAGGACATGCCGAGGGACGGGACATGTGCTGCTGGGACAGACGGTCACATCCCAGGGAATCAATCAGGGGGATCCCAGAAGGAAAGGCAAACCTGTGTCACATGTTCTTGACAAATAAAGTCCTTCCATGGCAAAGCAAGGGCTCCTGTCTCTGACCCTCATTTCCTTGGCAAGCTGAGCCAGTGTGGCAGGGGAAGCACCTGGGAAGGGGCAGAGAGAGGTGGACACGGCACATTTTGCACCAAGCTTGGCTCACGTCTCAAGCATCAATCGGGATTTCAGGTGAGGATCCCAGAATCTCTTTTGCCAATGCCATGGTGTGGCATTCGCCAGCGAAATGGCAGCTGGATGTCACTCCTGAGCATCTCCTGCTCCCTGGCAGGGATGTCCAGCTGGAGTTTGGCTGCCTGTCTCTTGCTGGAGGTTCCCAAGCCTTTTGGTTCTCTGCATGATTGCTGCAGGGAAATTATCATGGATTGGGAATGAGTCTGCCTCCTCCATGGGCCTGAGCCAAACCCCCCCGAGCATCTGTGAGCACCCAGGGCTTTGTGGCACACGTGGGGCACAGCACAGCTCCAGCCGCAGGTGGGCTCTGCTGTGGGGCAGCACCCCGGGCTGCAGCGGGCACTGGGGGTACTCACTTTTGGGGTGAGTCTGCAAAAACCTCCCTCTGGGATGGTGGCGTGGCCCGGGTCAGATTTACCCGCTGTGGTCTCAGTAAGGGGCTGCACCGGCCCAGACCCTGAGGAAAGAGGGGCTGTGCCCAGTCCGGCTCTCTCTGGAGAACTGGGGTGCCTGGCTCACCCCAAAATGCCAGGGCAGGAGGCTGCTCTGTGCTCCCCCGCAGGAGCAGGGGACCCCAGGGGGAGCTGGGCACGGCAGCGGGGGCGCAGCACCCCGAGGAACACTCGCAGTGAGTTTTTGGGGGAGGGAGGATGTGGGATGTCCCCTTTAGCACAGGAGGGGGTGCCAGCAGCCCCCGCAGGAGCCGCCGGAGGTGCAGCCGTGTCTGTGTGTCTGGGCTGTGTCTGTCTGTCCGTCTGGCACCCGCGGAGCCCTGCACGGGGAGGGGAAGGGAGAATCCCCATCCCCGAACTCCTCATCCCAGGGTGCCAGATTTTGGGGAGGGGGTGCTGAGGGACATTAACCCCGGTGTTCCCCGGTGTTCCCCGCGCGGTGCGGGGCAGGGCGGGGGCCGGGGGCGGGCGCGGGGGCGGGGGCCGGGGCCGTGCCTGTCCCGGCGGCGGGGCCGGGATGCGGCGGGGCCGGGCGGGGATGCGGCGGGGCCGGGATGCGGCGGGGCCGGTGCCGGGCACGATGCGCGGCGGGGCGCTGCCGCTGCTCTGCGCCCTGGCCCTGGCCCTGGCCCTGGCCCTGTGAAAAGCGGCGCTGGCGGCTCCCGAGCCGGGCTCCGGGCTGGACACAGGTAGGACCGGCGGCCGAGGGTCCCGGGGGGGTCCCTGGGGACTCAGCGGGGCTGGCGGGGACATCCCGGGCCGGGATGCGGGCGGTCCCCAATGGGATGCGCTGTGAGCCCGGCACAGCGGAGTGGCGAGCGGGGAACGGGGAGAGGGGCTCGGCCGGGACTCCCGGGGTTCTGCGGGGATGCGGAGGCGGTTCCTGGCCGTGGGGAAGCCCCCCAGGTGTCCCGGCGTCCCCTCACCCCCATCGCCGGGAGGCGCCGCCGCATCCGAAACGGGGATGGGGCAAAAAAGTTTCGCCCACGGCGAGGGGCGCCCCGTGAGCTGCTGGGGACGCTGGGGGCGGGCAGGGACGGACCCTTTAGAGGTGTCCCCGTGTCACAGGGTGCCTGGAGCGGGGTGTGGGTCCCCCTCCCTGCGGGACAGAGCAGCCGGGTTCGCTGGGATTTGTGTGTGGCTTCTTGGATCTCTCACATCAGAGAATCATGGAATCCTAAACTGGTTTGGGTTGGAAGGGACATAAAAGCTCAACTTGTTCCACCCCTGCCATGGCAGGGACACCTCCCACCATCCCAGGCTGCTCCCAGCCCTGTCCAGCCTGGCCTTGGGCACTGCCAGGGATCCAGGGGCAGCCCCAGCTGCTCTGGGCACCCTGTGCCAGGGCCTGCCCACCCTGCCAGGGAACAATTCCTGCCCAATATCCCATCCAGCCCTGCCCTCTGGCACTGGGAGCCATTCCCTGTGTCCTGTCCCTCCATCCCTTGTCCCCAGTCCCTCTCCAGCTCTCCTGGAGCCCCTTCAGGCCCTGGAGGGGCTCTGAGCTCTCCCTGGAGCCTTCTCCTCTCCAGGTGAGCACCCCCAGCTCTCCCAGCCTGGCTCCAGGGAAGCTCCAGCCCTGGGAGCAGCTCCATGGCCTCCTCTGGATCTTTTTATGCCAAGAGCTGCAGCAATTCCTAAAAATTCCCCTGCAGTGCTGTGGGTCTGGGATGGGGGGTGACACTGGCAGGGATTCTTGGATTTGGGATGCTGTGGGGTGGGGTGAGCCCCAGCTGGCCCTTCCTGTCCTCACAACCTGGGGGTCTCCAGGGCTTTGCTGAGCTCCTGCCTCCATCCCTGGGATGCTCTGCTTAAGGAGGAGCAGGAAGTCGGAAGCTCCTTCGTTGAGTGGGAGCAGCTCCCTGGAGCCACTTTTCCCTCACAAAATGCAGTAAATGATAATTGCAAAACACAAAACTCCCCCAAATCAACCCAGAAAATCCCGTCTGGGAATGAGATCCAAAAAGGAAAGCGCATGAACAATTTGTCTTTAATTAAAGCTGGAGTCGTCCAATTAAAATCTGCTTAATTAAGGGATGCAGCCGAAAACGCACGGCTTGGCTCCTGCAGATGGCATTTGAAGCTTGAGGTTTTGGGGAAAAATAGGTTTTCAGGAAATTATCCTGGAGGTCTGAGTCTCCCAAATGTCAGATCCAGCACTGTGCAAGGTCCTCACATCTGGGGTCTTTTGGGAATGTGCACATGGACTTGGTAAATGAAACATTGAACTTGATGAAAATGTGGAAAATTACATCTAAATTGTGGTGTACCAGTGCTGTCTGTGTACAGTTGCATGTGTTTTAAATCTATATTTTTATATAAAAAATTATATAAATATAAATGTTATATATATTTTATATATAATGATATAAATATATATCATTATATGTATAAATCATATATATCATTATAAATTATATAAACATATATAAATATATAGTAATAAATTTATATTATCTATTATTAAATAATACATATATAATAATATATAATTTATATTTTATATAAATTATATATGTTTTGATATAATATTAATTATATTATATATTATACTATATATTATATATGGTATATAATTTATATATATTTTATATAAATATATAATGATAAAATATATAATGATAAAATATATAATAAATATGTTTATTTATATTAAATTATACTTGTGTCTGGGCCTGATCTTGATAATCTTAACTAGTTCCAAGACCAACTTCTTAAAAATCCAGAAATCCCAGATTTGTACTCTGTGCCATTTCCATTTGACCCTCCATTCTATGGAGTGTCATGACATCCTTAATTAGGCAATTATATGGAATTACCAATTTTTTTCCCCTTGACAAGACCCTAAATTGTGCATTTAAAGTGGGATAAACACAGGGGTCACTGCCTGTGCCCCCAGCACAGAGAGCAGCTGGGAGCCTTCCCCTGAGGCTTTGGCCCTGGGAGGGCAGGCCATGAAAACCAAGGCCTGAGCAGTTCTGGGAACCCCAGACAGAAGCCACCAGGAAGTTTTTACAATCCAGCTTTTATCCCTGAGCTCCTTCATGGGCTCCTTGTTGTGTTCCAGAGGGAGGAGGAGGAGGAGGGTTTGTGCCTCAGATCCATTTGAAGGATTCCCTTATCTGAACTCTGGGTTTGCTGAGCATCATTTTCCAGCTGGTTTCTGCTGGATGAAAAAGCCTTTTCCCTAAAATCCTCCGGTGCTTTTATCTGGGAATGGGGAGGAGGTGAGTTCCTGCTTTCCCTCAAATACCTTCTCCTCCTTGGTATCCTGTGGTTGTTCCCCCTTGCACTGACCTTGGCACACCCAGGTGCCTCTGGCTTGGCTGCTTTGGGAATTCCAGCCTGGAAGTGGCTCCAATTTCCTTGGACATGTCTGGAGGAGAAGGTGCTGACCCAGGATGGTGCTTTTTGCTCTGCTGTTTTAATTTTGCCCAGCTGGAGCTGTTTGGATTGAAAAGTCTCTCTCTTGTTTTAAGTCTGTCTCGTGCTGGATTATTTGAAAACTTCCAGCCCAAGCTTCCCAGCTGCTCCCACCATCCCTGTCCCCAGAATATGTTGGTATTCCTGGAAGCTGGAATGCAGAGCTGGTGTTTGCCTGCATCCCCATGAGATCCCTCCAGATCAGACCAAATTAAAAACCTGAAACTTCTGCACAATCCCCATTTCCTAAAGCCTCTTTCCCTCTGGATCCAGGCCTTGCTCTGAGCTGGCACCCACAGCCCGTGTCCCTTGTGCCACCACAGAGCACAGAAAGATGCCACAGCTGCTCTCACCTCTATTTTCTGCACCTTAGTAGGTGGAAATCATTCCACATCATTCCATGTAAACTCTGGGGTGCTGGAGAAGGGTTTCAAGTCCTGTTCCTTAGGGGAAGATTTTCCAGAGAAGCGTAATGGATCATCCTGGGATCAGATCAGCCCCCTGGGAGCTGAGCTGGAGGATACAAACATCCTTCCCATGGGAAAATGGACAGTCTGGGCTGAGTGTCACACCTAAACCTCGTCCAAACCCTGCCAGGACCTCCAGCTGCCGGTGTTAAGCCCAAACTAAGCCAGGCCGAGCTTAGGTGGAAGATTCCGGGGGCAGAGGCAGAGTTTGGTGTGAGAAGCAGCTCGGAGTAGCTGCCCACACCTCCTTCCTCCGGGCAGGCTCCCAAAAAGCTCCTAATTCCTTGCAGGAGGAGCAGCCATCTGCTCCTGGTTGAGGTCCTGGCCCTGGGGGTGACGTAACGTCGGTGCCTCCCTGGCTGAGGCAGCTGGAGCTCTTTGTGGACGTTCAGGGTGTGCTATATATATTTCTGTATTTATATACACATGTCATGGCTCTCACAGCCAGCCTGGGGCTGGCACTGCCTGTGTGGGCCAGGAATTCTGGCTGTGGTGCTCTGGCAGGAGATGGGAATGGTTTTAGAGCTCAGCTCCGAGGAGGGGGCCGCTCCCTGGACACGGCAGATTGTGGGATCAGTCACTCCTCAGGGGCTTTGGGTGTCTGGGGCTTGTCTGGCAGGGAAAGCTGGGGGATATCAGTGGGTTCTTGGGTGCTGGGCTGGGTCCTCGTGGCCCTGCTGGGTGCAGGTTCAGGGCTCAGCTCTGTGGGGAGTGAGGAAGGATCACAGAACCACAGAGTCACAGAATCTATCACACAATTTATCAGTCAGAGGATCAATCACAGAATCACAGAGTCACAGAATCAATCATGGAATCACAGAATCTATCACAGAATCAATCACAGAGTCACAGAATCAGTCACAGAGTCACAGAATCAATCACGGAATCACAGAATCAATCACAGAATCAATCACAGAGTCACAGATTCAGTCACAGAATCAATCACAGAGTCACAGAATCAGTCACAGAGTCACAGAATCAATCACGGAATCACAGAATCAATCACAGAATCAATCACAGAGTCACAGAATCAGTCACAGAATCAGTCAGAGTCACAGAATCAGTCACAGAGTCACAGAATCAATCACGGAATCACAGAATCAATCACAGAATCAATCACAGAGTCACAGAATCAGTCACAGAATCATTCACAGAGTCACAGATTCAGTCACAGAATCAGTCACAGAGTCACAGAATCATTCACAGAGTCACAGATTCAGTCACAGAGTCACAGATTCAGTCACAGAATCAATCACAGAGTCACAGATTCAGTCACAGAGTCACAAAACCACAGAATCAGTCACAGTCACAGAATCAATCATGGAATCTGTCACAGAATCAATCACAGAATCAAACACAGAATCTATCAGAGCCAGAGAATCAATCACAGAATCACAGAATCAGTCACAGAATCACAAAATCATAGAATCTATCACAGAATCTATCACAGAATCTATCACAGAATCACAGAATCAATCATGGAATCACAGAATCAACCACAGAATCAGTCACAGAGTCACAGAATCAATCACAGAATCAGTCACAGAGTCACAGAATCAATCACAGAATCAGTCACAGAGTCACAGAATCAGTCACAGAGTCACAGAATCAGTCACAGAGTCACAGAATCAATCACAGAATCAGTCACAGAGTCACAGAATCAGTCACAGAGTCACAGAATCAGTCACAGAGTCACAGAATCAATCACAGAATCAGTCACAGAGTCACAGAATCAGTCACAGAGTCACAGAATCAACCACAGAATCAGTCACAGAGTCACAGAATCAATCACAGAATCAGTCACAGAGTCACAGAATCAATCACAGAATCAGTCACAGAGTCACAGAATCAGTCACAGAGTCACAGAATATGCCGAGCTGGAAGGGACCCACAAGGATCCCT